TTGTTGAGTATTGTTTAGACACCCTGCAGCTTGAAATGGTATGGTCCAAATCCAAATTCGATATCGTGGTGTTGAATATCTGTGCGATATGGCAGTGTCGTCTAAAAACCACGCATCAAAATGATTTCTGTTTATTTATTTACTGTTGTAGATCCTGAGAACTAGCCATTGAATATGATGTCGGGAATAAATGGTTTTCTGAGCAGGCTTTATTAATTATTGCTGGCAATATTCCAGTATGAATTGGGAGCAAACTGTGACACTAAATCTAGTCGTTGTATTGTTATGCTTCTAAAATATTTTTTTTTTTAAATAAAATAAATTAAATAGAAATATTATGTGTATTTTTGTATGTGGAAACATGGCTTGACCACTAAAAATATAAAGAAGTGTGGTCTGTGGTTCTTTTTTTTTAATTTTTTATTTGTGAAAAAAACTGGAGTGTAAACATAAAACACTCACAGTGCAAGGCTAGTTCACCAACATGTCTATTCTCTTGTTTGAGTGTGAAAGTACATGGTTTAGTGACTACCTCTTATGTTTTTAAATTTTAGAATTTTTTTTTATTTGGGAAGGTTCTTCTATAAAAATAGAACATATGTATATATATACACAACGGAAGACGTCGTATATGTCTTTTTTCATAACTATTCGATTGAAATTTACCACATCAACATTTGATTTTTTTAATATATTATGTAACACGTCTTATATAAATATACATATAAAGAGTAATATATAAGTTGCAGTTTTTATACGTGGTTTAAGAATATCGCTACTTAGTATTGTTAATACTTAACTTGCTTTACCTGTTTTGCCGTTTTTGTTATACCTCGTTTAGTCAGAATGAAGCCAATTGAAAATAACTATTACGCAACCACCGAGTAGTGATACTACGACACCGATAATAATAGCAGCAGTGTAAGAACTTTCAACACAATCTACAATACATGTATACATTGAATGATAATTGAAACATGGGTCATACATAATCCAGGTACGAATGTTTATTACACATTGCAGTAATTAAGAAATTATCTACTCCCTGAACTAGCACGAAATTATGAACATATACCGATCTCATTCAAAAAAGGCTATTTTATGATTAATTAAAACAATTAGCCAATTACCCTTTGATATGCAGATTATATTTCTGCGATTCAGACAATGTGTGAGCGAAATCGTCAATACCGCCACCACAGTGTGCTTGAGTTGTCTGTATCCTTTTTGCACTTTGACCTCAATTCGTGGTAACCGTATTCGACTTCTAGTGTTTATGATTGTTTTAAATATTTGACTTGTTGTTTTTCTATAATTTGTATCGGTAAAGGTCTATGAATCCAAATTGCCGATATATTATGTATAAACAATACGTTTTTTTCGTTAGTTTAACGTTTAATTGTCAACTTTATTTATACGAGTTTTGTAATGAACATATTCTACAATTACTATTTTAGTATTTAACATCACGTGTTGCAGATATGACGTTAAATGATGTAGATATGACACTATGAAGTACAAATATGAACTTTTATGATGATTTTGATATGACATAAAAATGTTCACCCTAATCGAGGTTGGATATACAGTTTTAGCGACCAAAAGAGGCCATTTGCAAGGCTAAGACAAGACTATAATTTTGTAAAGATTATACATGGTTTTTAGTCGAGCTTGCAGTGAGTTCCTCAATCGCGCTCATCTACGCGCTTTGAAACATTCTATCTGTGGTTTGGCAGCTCGGTTCTCTAAAGAATCTGAGAATTGACTTTGCCGTGGAACGGCACCGCTGTATTTAATTGTGAAACGTATTAATTTGTGTTTTGGCAGTATATATTCATATCATATATAGTGTGTTTGTTGAAAAAAATGTTTTTAGCACCAAGATATGTATGTCCATTGACAAAGTTAAATTATAAAGTTCCTCGGTAATTTTTAATTTTACCGATGTTTGGCTGTTAAAAAGTCAATATTTGTTATTAGGTTACGGTTGCCCATGTAGATGCAGTACAAAGTTGTCCTATCGAAAGAAGAAGTCCCGAAAAATATAAATATAACCCATACCGCTCGTGTATAAGTAGACAGATGATGTGATGAATTAATATATGAATATTTCAGCTCGTAAGAAGTAATTTGAGTAACGTTACATACTTCCCCGTCGTATGTCATAGTGCTGTTGTAGTAAGTACATTCAAAATGAATGAGTGATAAACATTTTTAAAATTAACTATACATATATTATTGTTTCAAATATGTCTCATGTGGTGGAATATATTGCCATGCTTGGTATTTCTAGCACCAAGATAAATTATAAAGGTCGAAAATTCCGTCTTGTTTCACCAAGGTCAAAATGATATTGTTCGCCCTCGTTTATTTGTAATTTTACTGATGTTTGGCAAGTTGTCAAATGCATGCCAATACATATATATATTTCAGAGAAATATTCTAGAAAGCGTTACATAGTGTCACAGAAACGCATATCAATGACCCACAATATAAAAATACACACCATTTGAAAATCTAAAATTTAGCAAGATATTTACATACAAAGCTGTTAGAAAAGTCAATATTTGTTATTTGCCTATCGGTCGCCCACGGAGATACAGTCCAAAGTTATGCTATTGAAACTGGAAGTCCCGTAAAATATAAATACGATCCCTACCGCTTGTGTATAAGTAGGCAGCTGATGAATTAAAATAAATATTTCAACTTGTAAGAAGTAAATTATGTAGCGTTACATAAAAATATGTATTCACACACTTCCCCGTTGTATGTCATAGCGTATCATTTTGTACTTGCAGTTAGTACATTCAAAATGAACCGAAGTGATAAATATATTTAAAACAAACTACATTGTTATTATTGCTTTAAGTATGTGACGTGTGTTCATATGTTGGAATCAAGGTGCAAAGCTTGGTATTTTCAGCACTGAGATATGTATATACACGGGCAAATACAATATGAAGATTGAATAATCCATCTCTTTACACCAAGGTCAAAATAAAATGGTTCGCCCATGATTATTTTTAATTTTAATTATGTTTGGTCAGTTGTCCAATGAATGGCAAATACATGAATATATTTCTATATATATTCCAGGCAAATGTTTCTAAAAAGCATTAAATATTGTCACAGAAAAGCATATCATACACTGCATGTGCTCATATTATCAAAGTATACATATACTCAATTCAACTAATATTATGATAGAACCTAATGACCCGCGATATAAAAATACACACCATTTGAAAATCTAAAAGTCAATATTTGCTATTCGCTTATCGGTTGCCCACGTAGATAGAGTACAATGTTATGTTATTGAAACAGGAAGTCCC